ATACAAAAAGCGTCTTATATTTTGAAAAGGGTCCCGTTAAATTAGGGGCCCATGCCCCTAATTTAGGGGCCCATGCCCATAAATTAGGAGTGTATGGTACTGCGTAAGAATAATTAGCTGGTAGAACAAAATTTCATCAATTTCTAACATGTCGATGTTAAAAAATGTACTTAATATGTTTAATATATATGATGTAACAACATAATATTTTTGAATTTTACTAAAAACCAAAGTTATTTTGTTCTCCAAATCTCCAAAAGAGGGTGCGAAAAAAAGGGCGTTAGCGTAATTTTAAAAAGTTTTTTTTATCTAAAAATTAATAATAAAACATTTTTATATTTTAGGAAATACCTAAATTCTCAAAATATTTTTTCAATTTAGCTGCGAACAAATTCAAACTTTGACATCGATTTTCTCAGTTTGCAAAAACATGGAGATAGCACAAGATAATAGACCTTTTCATAAATATCTGCGACGGAGAAAGGAGATTCTTCAAAGCGAGGCAGTGTTTGTAACAATCAAAACAAACTTTGCGTTTACATATAATTTCGTAGGGTTTAAACTTCAAATTATTATATATATATAATATATATTATATATATATATATATATATATATATATATATATATATATATATATATATATATATATATATAAATATATATATTAGAAACTGATTAAAAACTATTTTAAGAAAATTACATAACTGCCTACTTAGAAAAGGAAAGTATCCAGAAATAGAGGGCTAACCTAAGTCTACCTTTTAAGGCTATAATACTAAAACTTACTGTGTATATATATATATATATATATATATATATATATATATATATATATATATATATATATATATATATATATATATATATATATATATAAATATATATATATATTTATATATATATATATATTTATATACTAATACTTTACTATTTAAGGTTATAATACTAATACTTACTATATATATATATATATATATATATATATATATATATATATATATATATATATATATATATATATATATATATATATATATATATATATATATATATATATATATATATATATATATATATATATATATATATATATATAGACACACACACAGTAAGTATTAGTGTTGTAGCCTTAAAAGAGTAAAGAATTGTAGACTTAGGTGAGCCCTCTATTTCTGGATTCTTTCCTTTTCTAAATAGGCAGTTATGTAATTTTTTAAAAATAGTTTTTAAAATTTAATTTTTAATTACTATATATTCTATTTAATGATGCTATGTGATAGTCAAGAAAGTACAAGCTAAACTGCACTTTTAGAAATGATTTTAAAAGTTTAACGTCTGCCAGATGTTTACCTTTTGAATCATAAACTAAGTGATGCAGTGATGAATAAAGATTTTATAAATCAAGCAACAAAATTTGAAGGTATTATTTTATTACTTACTTAGCATTGGTCTCAATTACTCATCTTAAATAAAACTAATAAAAATGTTGCCTATTCTGTTCATTAATTAGACATTTACTACTTGTATAACTTATTTAACGAAGTGCACCAACGAGAAGGTAAGCCATAGGACTTTGCACCCCGTTTGTAAATTTTCATGTTGTTGCCTAAGATTAGCTCTCCATCTCTGGATTCTTTTCTTTTTCTTAATTGGCAGTTATGTAATTTTTTTTAATAGATTTTTTGTTTTTTTGTTTTAATTTTTACTAAATAAAAATCAATTTGAATATTTAAAACTTTCAACATCAGGAGTTATTTCTTGATTAATAAACTATTATTTTTTTTAATTAAATTTTTTATTTATTGCATTTTTTTGTATTTTTGTCTTTTTCTCTTTGTTTTTTAAATACTTCACAAAATAGCTCCAAAGATACAGGTAGAATGCAACACCTTTATGTTTCTTCTCTTTACTTTACATATCAGCACTATTTTACTTGCTAAAATAATTTGCTAAAATTTATACAATGATCTGACAAATCATATTTTTTTATATATATATTTAGTATATATACTATTTTCACCATGTACCAACTATAATATTTGGCCTTTATAATATTTGAATTTTATAAAATTCTATATTATTCTCTCCACAAGGATTTTTTAGTTTGCAATTTGTTGACTTAAAACTGTTTTGTTCAATAGTAAGTTTTTCTCTACCCTTAACCAAATAATGGTAAAACAATATTAACACTAAGTGGTCCATAGTATTCTGCTATTGTAAAGCCACAGTCAGTTTTACCTTGATTAACGTAATAAACATAAATCCTCCCCCGGGTGTATTTCCTACTAAAACTTTAACTATTGTATGATTTTTATTATCTAATTACATAATTTTGTGCATAAATAAGATAGTTTATTAACTTTGAACTCTACACAATCAATGATACATTTTATAGTAGGGAGCTTTTCCTACATTTATTAGGAAATTTTCTTCCTAACTCACTCCATACAAGGCCATATGCAGATGTCTTATACATTATAAATATATCCATGTATTTACAGTAATTGAAACTGTTCCTTCTGAAATATTGTATAAAAATAAATAAAAATAAAGATCAAAGTTCCCGTATAAACAAGTCAATGTTAAAATAAATATATTTATGCATCAAGCGGCTTTAATACTCTTGGTCGTCCGGTAGATAAAGTGTTTTTGTTTATTGGTTGTTATAAAAAATTGTTTTTTCCATTTTTTTCCAGGATCTAAAAATGCTTAAACAGCTTGGTTATTGATGGAAATCCAGTATAAACTATACTGGATAAATGAATCTACTAATTTACCTTCATCAACATTTACTTTAAAGTCTACTTCCTCTAGTGGCGCTGACAATAATGTCGATAAAGAGATATCTACTTCATTTTGTGGCGATGAAAATTGTGCTGATGCAGACTAATCGTCATCGACATTTTTAAACAAACATTGTCTGAAACTTTGTGGTTTTCTGGATGTATCTGACACTGAAAATTTATTTCATGAGTGCAATATTGTCCTAAAAACTTTTGTAAGTTTTATTTGTGTACCAAATGGGGTTGTATGGACCATTTCTTGTAAGAAATGCTTTTGACATAATCAAGTAGATTTGTTGTTTTTAAATTATCTTTCTTTTCTTGTCTTTTTATTAAGTTACACCAAATATTTCTTTCTACAGTTAAAAATGTGAAAAATATAATATTCGTTGGAACTCTAATTCCATTTACATTATCTATCATAGCTATTTGAAAAACATTTATAAAAAGCACATTGCAACCCAGACAATATCGCCATTTTTAAACATCGTCGATTTGTTTTGAATGTTACAAACACTGCCTCGTTTTCACGGAATGCTTTATGAAAAGGTCTATTCTAACGTCGCGATTTGTTAAAAAAAAGTTTTATACAAAAACTTTAATTACTCATTAAGTAAAATGATTTATGCAAATCCTAAGCGTCATCCGGAGTATAATGTAATAATATACATAAGTGCAAAAGGATTTTCAAATTTTTATTTTTGTTTTATAAAGATATTATGTTCCAAAAACATTATTTTTAAGGGTCAAAATTAACACATTTTTCGCCGTTATGGATTTTCTGTTTAAAAAATAAATAAAAAAATTTTATGCAAATTATTTCTCTTAATGTATTTAACAGTTTTAATAAACTAAAAAATGTTGCAATGACGAATATCAGAAAGTAGTCTATTTGGATCCCTACCACCTTAAGAACTAATTTAGATGGGCAATAATTTGCAACAAGTTTTATACATTTTCAGATTTCTCATCTTACAGGGACTCGTTTTTGAATGAGGCAGTTGAGTAACCAAATAAATATTTTTCTTGTTTTCTTAATAAAATTTCTAACCTATCTGTTTACCGTACATTTAGAAATTTCATATAAATAATTTTATAAGAAATGTTAACGTGTTAAAACGTTTTTAGACGTATTAAACACATTGTGTAATTCAGAATAATTTTGTAAATATTTTTTATTGGCACTGTTACGTAGTACGTCCATTCGCGAAGATTCTTTTGATAATTACTTATTACCAAGTTAGTTTTTTTATTTATTTATTTTGTTTAGTGCTAAAACTGTTTCTCATTTTTCTTGGACATTTTCAGCTTTACCATATACATTACCTTTAATCAATAAACAAAATTAATAATTTCTTAAAAAGAAAGTTTGACAATGATTTATTCTAACTAACTGAGAGTTCTACAATTATTTAAAAAACTAATTATTGAGTAATCTACAATTATGAAATAACAAATCTACAATTATTTAAGCTTTTTAAACAATAGTTTAAAAAAAATACTAAAAACAAAATTTTAGCTTTCTAGTTGTTTAATTAAAAATAACACACAACCAGAGTACCGTAGCACAGGTTTTATGTACACCAGGTTTTATGTACATATTTCAGGTTTTTTGTACACCTCATCAGTCAAGATAAAGCAGTATTTTTGAAATTCCTAAAGCTCCTGACATATCATTTTTAAATAATCATTATCTTCAAGTTTATTTTGCTTTGTTTGTCATTCTAGTACACTTGGCAAAACAAGCTTCTCTACAAGATCAAAATATACTGATGCAATGCATTTGAAATGTTTTCTAAAAAAAATGGGGTCTTGTTTGTTTTATTTAATCCATAACTCGATTTTAAACTCATTTCAAACAGATTTAAAGGGAAACCAATACATTGTGACATAAACATTATTTTTTATTTTTGATTTGTAATTTGAGGAGCAACCATAAACGTAACATTAGGTATTTTACGAGTTTAACTACAATAGTTTAAATCAAACAACTAAAATCCTCATTGAAAATTTCACGTAAAAAATCCTTTGTTAATTTTACAAAAAATGAGCCGTCGCAGCCTGCATAAGAAGGCCTCGGAGAAAAGACTTACATTTTTTGATTCCATTAATTTTTTTATAAGTAATTACATTATTTAATTTTTTAAAAAGTTTTTAAGTAGATTTTGCTAATAAAGTGTCTTTTAAAATAAAGTGTCCTTTAAAATAAAAAACTTTTGAAATTTAAACTGTTTATTATATGAATTCGAACTTTATTATCAACAGATTTAACCTTTATATACAAATTGATCATTTTTAATACTTTTATTTAATATGTTATGTATAAATATATATAAAAAAAGATTTTGATAATATACTAAATGATGAATAACGTGAGTTAAAAACTACAAGTCTTCATTCACGATGAAACGATTTCCTTCTGAGTTTTTTCCATAGTAAGATACTCGATTTTTCCCAAAATAACTTTTGCTAAAAGATTCTTGTATTTCGGAAGAAGGTTTAGTAGCACATTTTTCCTGAGAAGATGTCTATATATAATATTAACAATAATAATAGTAATAGTAACTGACTAAAATAATGAAATAGTAAATAATAATATTTAATAGTATGAATAGTAAAAGAAAAACAAGTATTACTTAGTAAGTAAGCCAAAAATTACTGAATTAGAGTAAGATAATAGAAAAAATATTAATACTAACTAAATGTATATAATTACTAACAAATATAAAAATAATAATAAATGCTAAATATAGAAATAATGAATTAATGAAGTGTAGACATAGAGTTTTTGGCATATTTTATTGTCCCACTGTGTTCAACAAATATTTTTTTTTTGGATGATGAGGTGGTTTTACAAGTACATTCATTATTACATTCTTGTGGTATATAGAAAAGTTAAATTTGTGAGTTATATAATAAGTTGAAATGCAGATATCTGAGAAGTTAAGTTGATCTTGATTATTTTGGCGCATGTGTATTGAATAGTCTTGTTTTGAGAAAGTAAATGTGTTAAAATAGATCCTGCTTTATCAAAGTTAAAAAAACGTGTATAGTTGTCATCAACATATTGTTTACTTATATATGTAAGTATTATTATATATAATTTATTACATATGTGACTTAATTTAAAATTAAGTCATATTCTTAGATGTGAGTTTTGCAAAGTTGGCATAAAAATAGTTTTTCGTTTTGGAAAATCTTTACTTAAATTGTTATGCTAAAATAAGTCAAAGCTACATCCAAACATTTAACGAGGAGTTTACCATACCCAGGAGTTAACGAGCTTAAACCTATGTTGTGCTTTTAATGTAGATATAATTAGAGATAGCACAAATAGTTGAACATCAAAAATATGTGACTTAAAAAAATCTAACTGAAAACCTAACTGGAATTGTGAAGCATGCACATTATTGCAAAGGTACAAATAATTGGAACACTTCTAAATCACTTTTGGTCATCCCAAGTAACTATACTAGAAAAATTTAGGTACAATTAATTGAAATACTCCTAAAACATTTTCGGTCATCCCAAATAATTAGACTAGAAAAATTTAGGCTATTAAAATAAACAGATTGCAATGTTGCTACCCTAAAAATAAAATTCTAAACCAAGATAACGGAAACCTAGTGATGACTCACCATTGGTAACCTTTTTTTGTTAAATATAAAAAAACTTTTATAATATTACACAGCAACAACAATATTATTGTTACACAGCAACAACAACATTATTGTTAATAACGAATTTTTGTAATGTATTTTAGTTAGAAAATGGTTACAACTATATGAGCCAAAATATTGCACCTAAAATTTATAAAACTTTAATAAGTTAAATAAATAGAATGTCACCGTAAATGATGTATTTTAATTTTTATATATAAATATTATTGAATTATTAAGATGTTATTGAACATTTATTATATATTGCTCATATAATAAAAATTTATTTCAAATTTAGTAAAAGCACTTTAAAAAAAAACTTTATAAAATGAATGAATTTGAATATAGAGCATATGTTAAAACTCATGCTCTGCTTGGAATACCATCAACTGAGATATCCAACAAACTCGAAAGAGTTGATGGGGACCAAGCACCAAAATATAGAACTGTTGCCAATGGACTGCTTTATTCAATGATGGAAGAGAGAGTTTAGAAGATGACCCATGCTCTGGGTATGATTATCAAGTTCGGAAAATAATTGAAGATGATCCTCATTCAACTTTTGACGATATTATGGAGCAATCATCTATTAATGGATATACGCTAAGAGAAATGATGCATGACTCACTCGGGCTGAGAAAATTATTATCACATTGGATACCCCATCAATTAACAGAAAAAAATTGAAAAGAGATGGTTGAAGCTTGTCGTGAAAATTTAGCAAAATTTGAAGAAGGTAAATGGCAATTGTGTGATGTTATTACTAGAGATGAATCGTGGTTTACCTTGAGACAGATTGGACACAAGCCATCTAATGCCAGCTGGGTAGCTGAAGGTGAATCTCCTAGAACAGTAGTACAATAGGCCTATTTTGAATCGAAAAACATGTATTTTATCTTCTTTAAGACAACAGGCATTGTTCATATTAATTATTTAGAAAAAGGTTTAATTAATTAGATATTAATTATTTATATTATTTATTTAGAAAATTTTTATATTAATTATTTAGAAAATTTAAAAAATATTTATATTAATTATTTAGTAAATTTAGAAAAAAACTATTTAGAAAAGACTATAACATCTAGTTATTACATTGAAATTGCCTGAAGCCAATTATAGAAGAAATAAACAAGCATAAACCTACCTCAGGTACAAAAAACATAAAATTTCTTTATGGCAATGCTAAACCTCATGTCACAAAAGCAGTGAAAACTTTCCAAGATCAAGCCAGATTCAATATAGTTTGCCACCCACCTTACTTGCCAGATTTAGCTCCATCAGATTTTTGGCTATTTAACTACATCAAAACTCATCTTGACGATCATACAGATGTTGAAAGTGAAAAAAGACAAATTACGAAGGCACTTTTAGGCATACCTATTGAAGACTATAGAAAAATATTTGAGAAGTGGTTGGAGAGGATGCAACTATGCATAAATACTAATGGCAAATATTTTGAACATTTAATAAAATAAAATAAAAAATACATTTATTTTTTAATATATTTTTAGGGTGTTGCACAAACTTTCCTAATGCCTTAAGTATCTGCGAACAATAGGAGTACTATTACATTGATACAAGATGGTTGGAGTATCAGAAATGATTCAATTATTGCTCACAGTGTACATAATAGAAAGACCCCATATTTAATCTCTATAGATAAAGAAAGTAAAAAAAAACTTCAGAATAATGTGCTGTAAGATTTAAGTATAATAATACTGTACTGTATCTATTAGCTTTAAACCAAATTAACTAAAAATAAAATAATATTTGTCTACTTCCAACAGGTATTTGCCATTGGTACAGATAATAAGAACAAAAAAAAAAAAAAAAACATTCTTTAAGAGGAATATCCACTACTTTCATACAGCTCAGTTCATCACTTAAATTTAGTTGAAAAGTATGTGATACCAAATTTTCTGGCACATTTTCATATGGATCAGCTCAGCTCATCACTTAAATTTAGTTGAAAAGTATGTGATACCAAATTTTCTGGCACATTTTCATATGGATCAGCTCAGTTCATCACTTAAATTTAGTTGAAAAGTATGTGATACCAAATTTTCTGGCACATTTTCATATGGATCAGCTCAGTTCATCACTTAAATTTAGTTGAAAAGTATGTGATACCAAATTTTCTGGCACATTTAATTAAAGTTAATAAATACTTCCGAAATCATCATTAACCACGTGTGAGTAAATATTATTTATAATATATTATTTTATTGCCTTTTATACAGTTTTAATTATTTTTTCACCCTTGTATTCAGTAAATTTATGTTAATAAACTAACTAAACTAGTCCTTTATTTCAAGCATGATAGTAATGGAGTTGTAAGTTATTCTTAATGATACACCAACTCTCAAGTAGACTGTTTAAAGACTTATATTAAAAATTATGACCACTTCCATGATAATAATTTTTAAATCACATATTTCAATGTGAACATATGTCAGCATCAGGTCAGCAAAAAAAAAAAAAAATTACACAAAGGGGTTACCATAAAACATAGAAATGAGGTTGGGAATTTTTTGCCGACTTTAAACACCTTTAGATTGGCAGTTAGATCGACATTGCTGAATACCAACCCTAATTCTGAGGGTTGATATATATACATATGTATACATATTTATATGTATATATATATATATATAAATATATATATATATATATATATATATATATATATATATATATATATATATATATATATATATATAAATATATATATATAAATATATATATAAATATATATATATATATATATATATATACATATATATATATATATATATATATATATATATATGTATATATATATATATATATATATATATATATATATATATATATATATATATATATATATATATATATATACATATATATGCGTCGACTAAGGGGCAACCTCATTCAACAGTTTAAAATATTAAAAGGAATCAACAAAGTAAAATGGTGTGTACCAACAATAATAAGAGAGCCAAGAGCGGGTCATAGAGGACAACTGAGCAAAGAATTAGTCCATAACAGCACACTGCGAAGCAATTTTTTCACTAACAGAAACGAGAACTGTTGGAACTCGCTATCCGACGATACAGTGAATGCTGAAACAGTCAACACATTCAATAATTGGCTGGACAACCTCCAGCAAAGTTGCTACAGTGGCTTATCCTTAGATGGGTTACTTTGTATGAGCTGATAAGCTCGCATTGCAACTTATTACAACTAACTAACTAACTATATATATATATATATATATATATATATATATATATATATATATATATTCTTTTTACTTAAAATTCAATGTTTACCTCAAATAAATTATTGTAAATAAAACAAGAATATTGCATAATAAGACTCACAGGAACATTACTGGATGGTTTCACATTATTAACGTTTCCAATTCGTTTTGCTTCTTTTCTTTCAGCCTGAGTTACTGGAGATGAATCAAGAAACTTTAGATTAGGAAGAAATTGTAAAACGCAATATCTAGACAAATAAAAGAAGCTGCCTAAATTGAAAATCAGATAAATGAATGAATGAAATAAAAATTAAATAAACAACTAGCTGTTATGAAATATATTAAGTTGGATAATTCTACTATATTGAAATATAAAACTTTAAATATGCTATAAGTAACAAGAATTTGAATGATTCCATGGTCAAATTTCATGGAAAAACTAAGAAACACTGTTCTCAGACCATCAGGAAAAATTGCGCCACTCAAAAAATTTATGAGTGTTTGGCAAAACGCATAAAATAACTATTTAAAACAAAAGAAATGTATAAACAATATATAACAAGCAATGTATAACAAAAACTGGCTCTCAAAGTAAAATCTCAAAGTACTAAAGACTCAATATAAAAATGAAAAATATGATAAAATCACTCACCCATTTAAACTTATGATTTGACTATTAACTATAATTTTGTTTCCAATTCAATTTATAATTTTTATAATTTTATTAAAAAACATATTTTTAGCGATAATAAATTGGCTTACAACTGCAAAAATAATATCAACTTTCAGCAAGTTTTTTTTTATTTTTGTCTGCCTAGACAGACAGATGCCGAATCTTTTTTTATTGTTAACTTTTGTGTTTATTTAAATTTAATATTGGAATTTTTGTGAGGATCCTTAACTGTAGTAAATGCAACCAAGGAGAAAAATCCTATATATAACATATTCAATCCTATATATAACATATTCAATGATAAAATATAATAGTAACAATAACAAAAAATACTATTTGTTAGTTTTTAAATCAAATAGCTGACAAATAAATGTTATAATGACCAAATTAAATGTTATTTAACCTGTATTTTAAATAATCTTCATCATCTTTGTCAGTGTAATTCAGTTGTGTGGGACATGCTTCATTTCCAAGCAATGAAAGATAAGATATTTTAGGAAAGCTTGTAGATATTTTCATTAAAATTCCTTCTAAATTTTTTATCTTAACAAAAGTAAAGAAAAAAATTAATGATAAATTACAATAAGTTACAAGTTAAATGTTTCATTGCACAGAACAAAAGTTTGTTAATTTTGGTTATGCATTTTTTTTTTTAATTTCAATTCACTGCCTCAAGGCCATGAAGGCCATTACAGTCGAGGAGGCTACTTTAGTTTAATACTTTAGTTGTGGTTACAAGTAAAGTTTTTGACAAAAGAAAAAAAAATACAACCATAAGCATGCACAAGCACTATTAGATTCATTAAACTTATAAAGAATATATATAAACATATATATTAATTAAACCTAGATAAAGAATATATGTAAACATATATATTAATTAAACCTAGATAAAGAATATATGTAAACATATATATTAATTAAAGATAAAGAAGATTTTACTCTTGCTTTTTCATGTCAATAATTTTATCATATTTTTTATATATTATATATTTATTATTTCTAATATAAAAAATTTAATAAAAACAAGAGTAAAGTCAATTTATTTTCAGGTCAAAAATCTTATTTTAAATTAAAATTAATAAATAAAAATGACATATTTATGTCAATTGTTGAGGAATTTTATCATACTTATACATATTCTGTTTCTAATATAGAAATATGCTATAATAAAAGCAAAAACAAAATTTATTTTTAAGTTTTAGTCAAAAATTTTATTTTAAATTAAAGTTAATAATAAAAAATGACATTTTTGGGTAAAATTATTTATGATATTTTACCTAAGAATCTTTACTTTTGCATGTTTCTTTTGAATACTTTTAGCTACTTATTTCTATACAAGAAACACAGAATGTATAAAAATATTAATATTTCAAAATAAATTAGTGAAAAATTTTTTTAAGAAATTACATTAATACTTTTATACAGTTATTATACAAAAAGATCAGTTATACAGTTATTATACAAAAAGATCAATTTTTCGAATTCTAGAAAAAAAACGGCAAAATAGTAAAACTGTCCAAGTATACTTTAGAACATAAAAGAACACAAAAACAAAACACAAGTACAAAGTTCCATGGCTGTCTAACTCTTGATGATAATACTTAGGACAAACTAGAATTTGGACTATTACCAATCTCTGCAAGGAGCGCCCAGAAAATTATTTTTCTCCTTTTACTTTCTCATACTGTTCCTGTAAAGTTTTGGCATAATATAACCAAAGGAAAAATTGAAATTAAAATCGTATCTAAGGATCGCAAATTAAATAAACACAATACAAAAGTATAAGTTAAACAAAACACAAGGCAAAGTCAACGCAAAGTCCAAGCAGCTTAAAAGATGGAGAAAAATGTGTATGAATGCATGTATGAATCCTCATGGAAAGAGATTGAGTTAAATGTAAAATTAAGCTAAACAAACATTTTGTATTTTGTAATGATTACCATCTTCCTATTTGCAACCTATCACCTAATGATCACCATTGTCCTACCCTCCTACCATCTAATGTCTACCATCCTCCTACCTCATTCTATCATCCAATGATTACCATACTCCTACCCTCATCCTACCCATCTCCTACCCTTAATAGTTTATAGTTGTTGTATAATAACAAACTATACAATCAACTAATTTATGACTGCTAATTAGATTTAGTTGGTGCCTTAATCTGTTTTGCTTATCTTATATTACATCAAAAGCATTTTGATGTAATATAAGATAAGCAAAACAGATTAAGGCACATCTTAACTTTTTTAACTCTCTTAACTTAACTTTCAATAAAAAAGAAACTCCATGAAGAAAAAAACTGAACCATGAATTATAATAAAAAATAAATTATTATGAAAAACTATCTTGCTAACAAGATTTATATAAACCAATATTTTTAAATATATGTTTAGCTATTCTGGAAGTCATTGCATCTGTGCAGATATATTGAAGTTTCATCTGCACAGATATATATATATATATATATATATATATATATATATATATATATATATATATATATATATATATATATATATATATATATTATATCCTATTTTTATATACAGTGGTGTGCTGGCTCCAGAGGCTATGCGAGAATCCTGCTTTGGCCTATCGGTATTTATCCTAGAAAGGCCTTTTTATCAAACTTTTTTACCCTTTACTGCATTCTGAAAATGATTCACAAATGATATTCATTTGCTTTATTTTTTATTCCACAAGTTAAATTCTTTAACAAATCTCTGATTCGAACTGTTAGACTTCAAGCGCATATATATTAGTATTTTGCATAATAAAATGCAACTGTTTGTAACTTTTGCCTCAAAACAAAGTCAATATTGGAAAAAATAATTGATCGTTGCGTCACTCAAATCACTATTTATATCAGTTGTTATATAGATAAAAATATTTAAGTTAGCCAATGATTATTATGAGAAATAACTGTGTTCAATTTTAAATTATGGAAAAGTATTCATAATGATAAAATTTTTGTGAAATTAGAACAATTTAATTTTTTTTCGTAAACAAAAATCAGAACGTTTTTAAATATAAATAATTTGTGTAAGTTTTTATAAAATTGCTCTTATTGAATGTTCTACAGATATTTAAAAAGTAGTTAAATATTTTTTCCATATAAATGAATAAATAAAACATTTTATTTTGATTTGAAAGTATTCCGGATTCATTCATTTCAGGGACTGCAAATAGGTAGAAACTAATATTTAACATTATATACTTTAGTAACAGCTTTTTTATTCAAAGGACATAGTTGTAAAATCCGTGTTTGTTGTATTTACAGCCCCTCTTTTTTTTAAGATTTGACATGAATGGAAAATCTTAAAAAATTGTATACATTCAATTTGAACTTCAAGTTGATAAGACCGTAATGACTTCTTGGAGCACGGAAAAAAAATAATTGTTGTACCGTTATTTTTGTAATGCTAATAAACACTTCCTCTTGTACTAACGCTTGTACTTTATTAAACATTTTTTATCACTTTTCTATGGGGTTTTCAATAAAACAAACATTTTTTTTCCTGAGCGAAGACTTACAAATATTTATTAACTATCAATCTTTAAATTAAATTTTAATCAAAATAAATTTTCTATTTTTGCTGGGAGTTACATTTACAGCAGGATTATTTTTCTACTTTATATATGTTTAATTTTAATTAATCAACTTGTTTCATTATGAGCAATCTTCTAAAGTTTTTATTTAAATCGCTTCTTTTTTTTGTTTTTGATATACTGCAGCTGCTTTTCAAAACGCCTTAATTACGTATTTCGAGAAAAGCGCAATTAAAAAAAATTTAAAAAAAAGAAAAATCTGAACTCGAGAATAAGTGACGTCAATAAAAATTAAAAAAAGAAGTTTTTTTTAAACTTTTGAATGAATGATTATGTTAAGGTTAATGACGCTTGTTAATGACGACACGTTTTTACACATAAAAAAAAAATCAATCAATTTAATTCATTTTTTTGTCATGCATAATTTTTACTAATTTTTTTTTTTAGTATGATCTTATAAACCTTTGGGAATTTTAAACCAATTGGGAATACCACGTTATACGCGGTGCCATCAGGCTGGGTAACACCCTGTGTATATATATATATATATATATATATATATATATATATATATATATATATATATATATATATATATATATATATATATATATATATATATATATATATATATATATATATATATATATATATATATATAATTTATATATATATATATACACCCACATACACACGCACATATATATATATATATATATATATATATATATATATATATATATATATATATATATATATATATATATATATATATATATATATATATATATATGTATATATATATATATATATATATATATATATATATATATATATATATATATATATATATGTATATATATACATACATATACAAATGATGGGCCTTCAAATTAAGCATATTTAGCAAAGTCCCGCATATAGGGCCTTTTTGAAAAAATCCTGCATGTGGTTTTTGGAGCCAGCACGCCCCTGTATATATATATATATATATATATATATATATATATATATATATATATATATATATATATATATATATATATATATATAAATATATATATATATATATATATATATATGTATATATATATATATTTATATATATATATATATATATATATATATATATATATATATATATATATATATATATATATATATATATATATATATATATATACACAAATATATATATATATGTATATACATACACATATATATATATATATATATATATATATATATATATATATATACATATATATTATATATATATATATAGAAATATATATATATATATATATATATATATATATATATATATATATATATATATATATATATATATATATATATATATATATATATATATATATATATATATATATATATATATATATATAGCAAAAACTTAAAGCAAAATGACATACGGTTAGAACAAATATTTCGAAAATTTATGTCTCAATTGGTTGAGACATAAATTTTCGAAAATATTTGTTCGAAAAAAAAAAAAAAGCCAGTTGAGACATAACATTGCAAATTGATGTCTCAAATTTGAGACAATTAAAATGCGTAACAAATATAGATTTTATTTTACGTTACATTAAGCTTTTTTGAAACTTTTAAAAGTGTAACCAATTGAGATGTGATGTAACATAAAAAAAAATCTGTATTTGAGACATATTTTAATTGCGCCTTTTTTTATATTATGTTACGTCTCAATTGGTTACACTTTTAAAAGTTAAAAAAAAAGCCAATTGAGACATAATGTTACAAATTGAAAATTTTTTTTTTTTTTGTGACAAAGTAACCAGTTGAGACAAAGCTATTTTACATTAAGAAATAAAGTAAATATGGTAATTAACAATACAGCAATGAGAAACAAACATTTACTGTGTTATCAAGTTTATTTAATTAATACTTAATTAAAAATAAGAGAATGTAACCTTGTTACCAATTGTAACCCATTGAGACGTAACGAAACTAGTAAAATGTTATAGGTGAAAGTGCTCCAATAACTCCAATAACAATAGTTTGTATGATAATATACTCTTAAAACAATTCATGCTAGAAATCTCATAACTTAACAAATCTTGATTAATTTTTAAAACATTTTAACAAAATACTCTAGAACTTTATTTTGCTTAGTCTGCATATTTTTTGAACCAATAGAATTAGTTTGTTCATAAATTTGGCAGGTTTTTAGTGTTTGCGAATATTCTTTTTATTCTTCCGCACCAAGATGTTTTGAGAACATTTAAGTTTAGGTATGTTTCCATTTATGTTTCTAAAACAAAAATTTTTTGTTTTACAAACATTCATTAACTTAAATGTTCTCAAAATGACTAAAAAACCTGGCCAGTTTTTCACAACTAAATATTATTTTTGTGGTCAGTATTCGAGACCAATCGCTCCTGCTTCCCAACCAAGCCTGTGTAAGACATATTTTATGCAATTTCTATATTTATATTCCAATAATTTAGTAAAAAGATTTCAATGCAAAAACTTTAGATAATTCTAAAATATTGAAATATATATCCTATATAGGATTTTGCACCTGTTTATGCTTGACACCTATTAAATTGATGCAAATAATTTGAAAAAAGTTTTTGTCAATTATTTAGTTTTTCCTAATTCCTATAAAACCTTTAGAACATTTTAATTAGGCTAACCCAACTTTTATTTTCTACCAATGAGATAAATTATGCTCAAAAAGCTCAAATATCATGACAAATTACCTAAAAGTTTTAAGCAATATTTTCAAAGATTTTCTATAAATAAAGCAAATAAAAGATTTCAAAGTTTTTCTATAAATAAAACAAATTTTCAAAAACTTAAAAAAAAATATTTACTACAATAAACTTTTATACATTTTTTGTTGATGTAAAAAAAAAAAAAAATTTTTACTACAATAAACTTTTATACATTTTTTGTTGATGTAAAAGAAAAAAAAAAAATTTTTACTACAATAAACTTTTATACATTTTTTGTTGATGTAAAAGAAACAGATTGAAAAAAATTGAAAGTTTTGCGCTGTATTTTGTAAAAACAAAAAAAAGTTTTAATTTTTGTAATAAGAGTGTCATGTTTGGAAATTAGGATTATTTAATATGAGGATTTTTCTTAACAATAAATATTTTATCATTTTTAATAATAACAAGTTTTAATATTAAATTTAATTATTTTATCATTTTAGATTAGAAAGTATTTTTTTTTAAAGTATTTAACTCCAACTTTCAGTTTTTAGCACTAAAATTTGTAATTTTCGAAAAATATGTACTTTACACATAATTGAAAAACCTTTTATATTATTTTATTGATTATGAAAACATTCTAGATTGGCTTCTTGATCTTAAATAATCCTAGTAAGAATATTTAAGTAAGATTATCCCTCATATCTTGTCACCTGATAAGCTAACTAGGGTCTTAATGCGGGCTCTAAATATAAGAAAATATCTTGTAAGAAGTTCTCATATCTTATCTAAAGTAAGATTATCCCTGATATCTTGTCACCTGATAAGCTAACTAGGGTCTTAATGCGGGCTAATAAGAAAAAAATATATATAAGAAAATATTAGAAATATAAGAAAATATTAGAAATATAAGAAAATATTAGAAATATTTTATAATTTTATATTTTATGAGATTTAAAAAATTTATAATTTTAAAGTTAAAGAAAAAAAAAGTGTAAAAAGAATTAGACCTTATTTTTGTTAATTGTAAAAGTTTCCAAATGCTTAAGCTGAGGTAGTTCCAAATCGTCAGTAAGTTCATTGTTATCTAATATCAATTCTTTTAACTCAGTAAAACCAACCAAGCCTTTCAAACTTCTATTTAAAAAATAAAATTATTGATAAAATAAACAACATTAAAATTTTGTTGTTGTTAATTAAACTATTTTTAGATCATAACTTAAAATATATAAATTATCTCATAACAGATCAAAAACTTAAAAAAAAATATATATATATATTTTTTGCAAATGATATTTTAAATTAAATAAATGTTAGATATTTTGAATTAAAGTTTGCAGATTGACAGCAATATTATTTGTTATGAGATTGTAATTAAAGACTGTCTGAAATGATAATGATCCATTTTTGAAATAGTTTAAGACATGCTTAATCTTCTTACTTTTATATTGTTTTAAACCAAGGTTTTCTCCTTTTAAATAACTTAATGTTTTAAAAATAGATTAAGTTTAAAGTTCAAATTAAATTTCAAGTTTAAACAATCAGTCATTATTATAAAAATGCGGGGGCAGGTTGAAATTTGGTAAAAATAATTTTTGATTTGTCAAGCCTTGTCCTGGTGTTGTTTTAAAAATCATTTTTCATGAAACAAAACATAAACAACAAAGTTTACCTAAAAGAATGTTTACAAAAAGCAACTTATTGTTATGATCCAAAAACATAAGAATCCGCCTGTATTTGGGCCTGATTTTTTATCTTGCTATTACTCAAGAAGCGTAATTAAATGGTATCAACAAATGGTGTCAATTTTATTCACCTCACCCCTCCCCCCCAAAAAAAAAAAAAAAAAAATGAAAAAAAAGAATCCTTGAAAAAACCTTGTTTAATTGAAAAATTTTGAACGTTGAATTTTGAAATGAAATGTGAGCTGGGTAAGAAGGGAAAAATATATAGCGGAAATCAATAGATTCTGGCAAATACTGGATATAAAATCACTAAAATGTTAAAAAAAATAACTGACTTAAAAATGTTCATGCTAAATGGTTGCTCTAAATTGAGAAAATATTGTGATCAGCTTGAAGATGATGAAGAAAATATTGTGATCAGCTTGAAGATGTTTTCTAAAAGCTTTTGTGTATTTAGAGATAAATAATTTGCTTTAAAACAAAAAAAATTTATCAAAATAGATTTAGTAATTCTTGAAATATTTCAAAAATGCCATGGGTCAATACCATCTCTGACAGTCTTTTTAATTTATTAGCTGAATAATTATAGTTTATTAATTATATACAGGTTATTAGTTATGCTTAGCGTATGGTTGGCATAGTTATGATAAAATTGTTAGCATGTTCATTGTCATTATTTAACTTTATACAGGATATTACCCTTACAGAAATCCATGGAATTCTCTGAGTAAACCATGGTTTTCCCATGGAAAACAGAAACTCCATGAAATTTCCATGGGTGAATTTCCATGAAAAATGAAATCAAATGGGATAAAATTTCCATGGGTGATAGAATGGAACTTCTATGGATGAACCATGTTTTTTTTTTTCATAGCTCATGATACACCATGGGTTTTACAAATGCACTTTTAAAGATACCGTTGTAACTTGTAAAGTTACAATTATTAGTAACATGATTAAATAATATTTTCTGCATTCTTCTGTTTTTCTGTATTTAATAAGACTATAAATTAAACGTTTTTTATAATGCATCACATTTAATATGATTCAAACTAAACATACAGATGTAAACAATTAGAAATATTTGCAATAGCTAGAATATGATAAATGTATGCACTTTATAATACATCATAATATGATATTATCAGAGATGTTGGTCTTGAGACTTAATCTTGGTCCCGAGATGTCTCAAGACTCACCTAACTGTTTTGGTGTTAGTCTAGGCATTTAATCAAAATGTTGTAGGCTTGGTCTTTACTGTCTCTGGATATTATCATAATATGATGCATTATAAAATGCATATATTTATTTATTATTTATAAATTTAATTATATATTATTTATGCATATACTCTTACTTTGCCAAGTAAATCAGTTTGATTTTTACTGTTTATTTGGTTTACTACAAATATTTTAGTTTTAATGTACATTAGATAACCAGTAAATGTTTTATTCAATTTTAGCTCTGTTAAGTTGATTTTGTCTTTTTGTTGATGCGACCATTCAAGCCGGGATTTAGTTAGCGACTAGATCTAGTAGGGATATTTATTATGTTTTTTCTTTACTATTAAATAGCGGAAATCTTAGAATATGCAAATAATGTAATAGTGTATAAATCTTTTTCTTTTTACTTTATTATTTTATTTAAATTATTACATTATAGCCAACAGGTTTGACTGGCAATATAAATAATTTTGTTCATCATTTGTATCATTTTATAACATTGTCAGCTTTTATATGCATTTAATATTTTTTTAAATAGTTAAAAAGTTGCCAAAATAAAATAGTGAATTGAGTTCGAATTAACCAGAAAAGATGCAAGCATAATCTTTGGAATTCAACTTGTAATGATGTTCCAAGAACAACAAAGTTGGTTAAGGAAAACTATGGTAGTGTTTTAAAAATATCAGAAAGGGAAGTTAATTAAGCCACAAGATTGTACTTCAAAGTAAAATATAAAAGCAATGTTTATAAATTCACTCTTATTTACTATAATTACAATGTTTATAAATTCACTATTATTTATTATAATCCAATTATTTTTATTTGTTTATCCAACTAATGTGAAGTCCTCGTCTTAAGTAAAAATAAATTAATTTATGCACATATTTTAATTTTTATTATGTTTTTACATTAATTAATAAATTACATATTTATTATACTTATTATGCTTTAAATAGTAAAGTAAAAAATAAATTTTTGATTTTAATAGCGTGGGTATAAGTCCTTTTATTTTAACTTTATCATTTTATTTAAATTACTGCATTATAAACAGGCAAGTTTGACTGGTGATAGAAATAATGTTTTACATCTTTCAGATAGATCCGACAAAGAAGTAAGCTTTATTGAAATTGCGATTTATAAGTAATAATATATTTTTTGCTGCCTTGTTTAATATAAATGTCACCAACATTTATATTTATTTACAACATACAGGTAACATTTATATATGCATTAGTTTGTGCGTAGATCTTTTTATTTTAAGTTTATCGTTTTATTTAAATTACATTATAGACAGGAATGTTTGGCTGGAAATAAAAATGATGTTGTATATTATGCAAAAAAAAAGGTAATAATCTTATAATTATTATTTATAAATAATGATATATTCATTGATACATTTTTCTATATAAATGTTACCCAACCTTTGACAACATTTATATAAAACATTCTAAAAGTTGTATGTTAATGTATAATTATAAAGTAAGTTATAATAGATAATAATTATAAGTATAAATAAATTAGTAAGTAAAAAAAAATTAGTTAGTATGTATATATTAATTGTATGATGTATTGTCTAGATTGGTGAAACGGACAATGATACTAACTGTGGTGAAAACAATAATGAATATCAAAATGCGAATGATGATTTGTTTGACAATTACCTGGTTCTGCAATTACAGTTGGGGTCAATGTTATAAAACTTTTCATCGGCGTAAAATGCAACCGGCTGTAAATTTTATCGGCATAAATGATTTGTTTCAATCTTATAAAAAAATTTCAAAATTACCGTCGATAAATTTCTACAGCCGAAACGTTTACAGTCGATAAATGTTCTGGAGGAGCGACCTACGGAAATTTCTATTAAAGATCCAGAGAGATGAATATTTAGTTGTAGAAACCTATGGTTTAGAACTTTTCAAAGTACTTACCTTGAGTTGAAAAATTAATACAAATTCTTTCATTTTAATTAAGTGCACATTTCTTGGTAAATTTTAATTTCGAGCGATTTCTTTGTTAAATTTTTAATACTGAATTTGTCATGAAAGAAATGTAAGTCTTTTTCAAAATTTAAAATTGCTTTCATTAACTACACTTTAGAAAAAAATTGCTTATAAATTTCATACTTTCATTCAAATTATTATTTATAAACCTAATTCTGAGCTTCTATTTATCTAATTTTTCTTTTTTCTGTTGTAATTTAATATTTTTTGCTAAACTTATTAAATTTAACAAAAAAAATGGTAAAACACAAAACTGTTGTGTTTTAATATTTTTATATATAATTTAAAAGCAATATTTTTCTAAAAAATAGTGAATGTTATAAAGTATAAATAACCAGTTATTTATTATTTTAATCTTTCTTAAACTGAAGTATTTTCTCTTCATCACTATAATTGTTAATATTATTATTACTATATTTTTATCATTATAAATATTATGATTCTTACTGTTATTAATATTGTCATGTTTTTTTTTATATTACTGTTTTTGTTATATTACTGTTGTTGTTATTATTGTTGTTGTTATTTTTACTGTTATTTTTGTTATTATTATTATTAAAATAGTATAGTGTATACTTTTTATAATCTTTACTATTACTTTTAATCGCTGTTATTATAACTAATATTTTTATTTACTCCTAATTGCATTATAATTATTATTAATATTACTTAAATAATATTAAAATGATGCAAACAATATTAGCATCATTTTATTAGTATTAAATTTTACAGGTACTTATTTCATATTACTACTTATTACTATTTGTAAATAACCTTGATGTATCAACTTTATTCAGAATATATTTGATTTGATTTATTTTGATCACTGAAAATTTGAAATTAAGTGAAAAATAATAAGGCAATATATATATATATATATATATATATATATATATATATATATATATATATATATGTGTGTATGTGTGTGTGTGTGTGTGTATGTGTATATATATATATATATATATATATATATATATATATATATATATATATATATATATATATATATATATATATATATATATATATATATATATATATATATATATATATATATATATAAAGAGAGAGAGTGAGAGAGAAAGAAAGAGAGAGAAATATATATATATATATATATATATATATATATATATACATATATATATATATATATATATATATATATATATATATATATATATATATATATATATATATATATATATATATATATATATATATATATATATATATATATATATATATATATATATATATATATATATATATATATATAGAGAGAGAGAGAGAGAGAGAGAGAGAGTGCTAAACGCTCTTAAAAAACAGAGCAATAATAAATTTGTAAAAACACTTATCTAATTTTTATCTTTGAGAGCTTGTTTTTCCATCAGTAGGTTTATCTGAAAGCCTGGTCAACTATTGAACCTATTGATAAACCTTCCTCATGAGCCTACTGATAGTGAAACACGTTGTTGAAGAATAAAACTAGATGTTTTTACTAGTATACATATATATATATATATATATATATATATATATATATATATATATATATATACATATACATATACATATACATATACATATACATATACATATACATATACATATATATATATATATATATTATGCATATATATGTATATATACATATATATGTATATATACATATATATGTATATATACATATATATGTATATATACATATATATGTATATATACGTATACATGTATATAAGTTTTCATGAATGAAAGTTAATAAACAAATTAAACTTTTTAGATTAACTTTACAAATTTTCTTTTAGACATTGGAACCTGAAAAAAAAACCATCAGGAATTTAAAGTGTTTGAAAAGGAATTTAAAGTGTTTCAAAAGTTTGTTATTGAGCTAATTAGTAAAATGCACTTATGCTAGATTTAATAGGACTATTTATTGATTCAAAAATCAGATCAACTTTAGTACTAGACATACTCAAAATGGACAGGCAAAGAAATTTCTCTATTTAAAATTTATGCAGAGGTTATTTGAAATTCGAAATATTAAAAATAAGTGGTCAAACTAAAAACAGAATTATTAAAGTTCTAGAAATCACCTTTGATGCTCGAATATGGTATGAGCTTATGAAAATGTATACTTGATATTTAAAAATTAATTGAACCACTACGATGTTGGCTCAAATATTTTTGATAAAGTCAGATAACAAAATACATCAAAGATTTTTCTCCTTATTCAGAAAGTGTTTAGACATTATGTACAACTTGTTTCCATATTGTCTATGGTATGGAAGCACGTCAAAACTTATTGTGGATAAAATTCTAATCAGAAAGCATCAAAAGAGTTTTATGTTTAAATGTTTATTTGTGTCTAAATAAATTTTTGTTATAAGAATTCGAGTTTGTGAATAATTCTTTTAATTATTTAATATTTAAAGTCTTTTTTTTTTAAAGTTTATTTATGCAATTTCTCCTATTTTTTTCTGTGTGTATAGATTTTCTATGTGTATAGATTGTATAATATGTGTTTCTATGTGTATAGATTGTATAATATAAAATGTGTGTAGATTTTCTATATTTATATCAACACAATTTTACAAAAAAATTACAAAGAATGATTAATTACCTAATTAATTACGTAAAAAAAAGAATAAAAACCTTTAATTCTTTAATTTAATGTATTTTATTATAAAGACCAAGACCAAAAAATCAAGGTCAAGGCCAAAAACTTCAAGGCAGAGGCCAAAAGTTTCAAGGCCAAGGCCTTGGTTTTTGGTCTTAAGGCAAGGTCAAGGCCAAGAACTAACAACTCTGGTCTAAAGAAACCTCTATATAGAAAATTGTATAAATTATTTTTATAGAAAAGCTATACAAATTTTGTTATAGGGTAGGGTAAAAAATTAATGACAATTCCATTTTTTTACTTTTAAATTGTATTCTTAACAGTTTAAATACTGTTTGAACAGTTTTACTTCTCGTGGTTGTCTCTGATTTGCTAAATATTCTAAAGCAACAAAATATTCTTCATCAGAATCAGAACAGTCTAAGTCCGAATCCATAAGAAACTGTTAATTTTTGTTAACTTTGATGTTTTCAACTCAAAAACATTTTGTTTTTGACAACCTGATTCAGACAGTAGATTTCCGTAAATAAATTCAGAGCATAGATATCTTCAAAATTTTACGCCCGTAAAAGTTTTATAACATTGAATGAAAAAACATTTTATGTCTCTAAATTTACGGCTGTAATAATTCCTGAGTAAAAATTCCGCCGGTAGAATTTTACGCCGATAAAATGTTTTATAACATTGACCCTTGGTGGTGAAATTGCACTTATAAATGATCTTGATGCTTTTTTAGATTGAATATGTTGTTTTGATAATTCTTTTTATTTGTTGAAACTTGAAGTTATTAATTATAAAACTCATATGTACTATTTTTATCAAATAGTTAATATAAAATAGCAAACATATAAATTGTTATATTTTCTGCAAAAATTGTTTTCTTAATCTATTTTAATTGTTTATCACTGTATGTATATCACTTATAGTATGATATTAATTGTAATTTTTTGTTTTATTTACTTTCAGTATGCTTATACATAGGCATGCGTTAAATATTGTGGTGAAGTCAAATTTTAATGTTTTAGGTGCATTTTTCAAATGTTTTAGGTGCATAGCTATTATTTTTCAAAGATTTGTAAGATTCAACAAGATTTAAATTTTATTTTATTTATTGATTTTATTCCGCCAAAGCGATTCCATAGATAACTCAATAATATTAGTGAGTTGCATGATAAAATTTGCTTTTTATGGTTTAATATGACAATTGAAATAACATTAGATCAAAAAAACTTGAAAACAAAACATGCTATTTTATCACGGAAAACCCAGTTTTCCTTGGAAAGGTGTTCCAAATACACATGAAAATTCCATGATTTTTCCATGGATGGAAAAACCAGGAAATTTTCATGGACATTTGGAACACTTTTCCATGAAAAACCTATGGTTTTTCCATGTAAACGTGTTCCAAATACCCATGGGTATTCTATGGGTTTTTTCATAGATTTTCCAAGGAAATATTCCGTAAGGGTACAATAGTATAATAATATTTAAACTGTTATATAATATATAAAGTTAATTGTAAATTATACAAATTACAGTCTATGTAAAAAAAAAATATCATTAGTAATAATCAGTAATATATTATGGCAATAATCAGAAAAATCTAAAAAAAAAATAAAAAATCTGTAAAATCTATATTGCAATTTGTGATATGTTTTTATTTATTCATACTGAATTTTGTTATAACTCAAATCCATTCTTGTGATGTTATTTCCATATTTTGTCAATAACCAAGGTGGAACACATTTTACGTTTTGACCAGAAAAAGATAGCTAAATTTCAAAAAAACACGTAAAACAAACTTAAATAATAAAACAGTTAGTACAATATATAAGCCAACACAAGATTACAGTGTATGAGCTAAAACAGTATTACAATGAATGAACCAACACAAGGTTACAGTGTATAAGCTAACTCATTATTACAATATATATAAAAGAACTAGTACTAAAGTGTATGAACCAACACAGTATTTTTGGTCAGCTTTTCAAGTTCAAGTTTTTAATTATTTTAAATTTGCATAAAAATGCAAAATAATAAAAACATAAGTCTTATTATATTATTATAATTATATTATATTATTTATTCTTATTATATTTGTTAGGGTTTGGTTAAGGGTTCGGGACTATCTTTTTATTAAAATAGAAATATTGAAAATATGCAAGGAGTGTTGCTACATCAACTGATAAATAGGTAAAATATACAAGGAGTATTGCTTTTTTACTATAAAACACGTGCAGAGTGTTGCTACATCAACTCTCTTATAGCCTGCTGCTACAAGGGAGTACTGTTAAATTGACTATCTTATAGCCTACTGCTGCAAGGAAGTGCTGCTAAATTGACTTTCTTATAGCCTGCTGCTACAAGAGAGTGCTGCTATATCAACTATCTTATAGCCTGCTGCTACAAGGAAGTACCGCTACATTGATTGAGGTTTTGGTTTGGGCAAGCAATCTATAATTAAAAAAAAACAAATTTTATTTAAGTTTATCTGTCTGATTTATTAAAAAAACAAGAGTTAATGGAAAAAACTTTTTCACTACAATGCAGGAGTATATATATATGTATATATATATATATATATATATATATATATATATATATATATATATATATATATATATATATATATATATATATATATATATACACATATATATATATTAACTTCAGTTCAGTTTAGTTAACTTTGCATTTTTATTTATATTTATTTACATATATTAATTATTTCATGCATAATTTACATTTAAAATTTTTAATATTTTATTTAAACTATAACTAAATAATAAATAAAATACTCAAATTATACAAACTATATTAAGTTATACAACTTAGCGCATAATAATGCATAATAATATTTTTTAAAGTTTATTTATTTTACACAATTGCTAATGTTTAAAATAAAGTGAGTTTAAAATAATAAAGTTTTCTTTTATATAATAATAAGTCATAATAACTTAATCATAATCACATAAAAGGTAACAACTTAATTATAGCATTAATTATATATAGGTTTTTTAATTATAACATAATTAAACAACTTTATTTATTTAATTTAAATAAATGAGCAAATAAATAAAAACAAAAAAAGCAACCTAAAAGTAACTTGCCCAGTGGGCAAAAGACAAGTTTTAAATGTCTAAAAAACATATTAAGTTTTATTAATAGATTTCTTAGACATCTAAAATGTGTCTTGTGCCAACTGGGTGAGTATTTTTTTTTTAATTGAAAATAAGATTTATCCAGAAATAGGATATCTCGTTTTCTAGGAAAGGCAGTTAAACCCTTGTGTATATCACCCCATTACATACTACAGTACCCCAAGCTAAAAATACTTTAAATTTATGACCAAAAATACCATATCAATATCCATGCACTAAAGCCACATCAAGGTGTAACTTAATTTTTGGAATAGGGCAAAAAAACGTTTTCTGACTCTTAGATCATACATATTGAACAATTTTTGAAACCTACAAAGATCTTTAAAAAGTTAAAAAAAAAAGTTTAACTTGTAATTTTATAATTTGAGTGATCTGCATTCATGAATGTTTCTAGGTAAGTTTTGTTTTTTAATTAAAACTTTGATAATTTTAATTAATTTTGACAATTTTCATTAACTTGATAAAGGTTATTATAAACAGTGAAACTTGTTTGTTTTGTTTTTACTCAAATATTTTATTATATTTAATATAAAACAAAACAATAGTTTTGATCATTTTGTTTTAATATTGACTCCCTATTTTTTTGGCCTAGAGGAGCTGTACACCTCTTTGCACTTATCAAGTTACACCTACTGTAAATCATACACATACACTTCCATCAGCTAAAACATGAATTGAGTTGCTTGAGTTGTTATCATGCTGATTGACAGCTGAAGCCATATACAGTCTATCTAGAAGAAAAAAAAAATATATATATATATATAGATATATAGATATATATATATATATATATATATATATATATATATATATATATATATATATATATATATATATATATATATATATATATATATATATATATATATATATGTATATATGTATATATATATATATATATATATATACACATATATATATATGATATATATATACATATATAAAGTCAAGAGGTTTATTTGACGTTACAATGGTGGGTTTGTTGGTGCGGAAATATGTGAGTTTGTGGGAATATTTGTTCTTTTTCAAATGTCAAATTTTTATAATAAATATAACTTTGGATTATATTGTGATGACCAAATAGCAGTTTTTAAAAATGCTACTGGTCAGCAAATGGAGAAAATTAAAAAGCATATCATGCGCTTATTCAAATGTAACAATCTTAACATATCTATACAGTGCAATCTCAAAATTGTAAACTATCTTAACGTAACTCTTAACCTCTACGACTAGTCATATCAACCATACAGCAAACCTGATAATACTTTAAACTACATACATGCTCAATCTAACCATCCTCCTAGTATACTAAAATAACTACCTAAAAATGTTGAACTGAGATTGTCTGGAAATTCTAGCAGCAAAGAAGTGTTTAATAAATCTGTATCTGTTTATAATAAAGCACTACAAAACTCTGGTTATAAACATAATTTATTTTACAAACCTAACTTAAAATAACAACAAAAGAAAAACTGTACACGCAAAATAATATGGTACAACCTTCCTTTTAGCATAAATGTCACTACAAATATAAGAAAATGCTTTTTAAACTTCATTGCCAAACATTTTCCAATTAACAACAAACTAAACAAAAATTTTAACAAGAACACTGTAAAAATCAGCTACAGTTGCATGTCAAACATAAAATCAGAATAAATTTACACAACAAGCACATCCTAATCAAAAACCCATTAATAAATATAACTGCAACTCTCTTAATAAAAACAATTGTCCTTTACTCAATAACTGCTTGACCAACAACATTTTATACCAAACAACCATCACTTCAGATAACTTTTCAATAAAAAAATCATACATTGGCATTAGCGAAACACCTTTTAAACTAAGATATGCTAACCGTTTGAAATCATTTAATATCCCCAAATATAAAAACGATACAGAGCTGCAAGGAGGTTTGGAACTTAAAAGATAGTAATAAAAATCCTGTGGTTAATTGGAAAATAATTATAAGATATGAAGCATATAACCTGAAAACAAAATTGTGCAATAATGCCTTAATGAAAAATATGAAATTATTTCAAACAATGACAACATTGTATTAAATAAGAAAACTGAAATTATATTGAAATGTTGGCATAGAAATAAATTCCTTCTTTGTCAATTTGACACAGGGTAAAGGTAGACTTCATGTAATTGATTTTTTGACGTCAGATCTCATTGCACTGCTTAATTTGTATTTTTAACAGTTTTTTAATTTCTTGATTTAAAAATATATGGCTGATGATTGCCACCAGGCATAAAACTCTAAGTAGCAACAAAAAGTTGTATTTTTTTCATTTTAATACTAAGTAATTATATATATATATATATATATATATATATATATATATATATATATATATATATATATATATATATATATATATATATATATATATATATATATATATGATATATATGTATGATATATATCTATACCTATACATATATATATATATATATATATATATATATATATATATATATATATATATATATATATATATATATATATATATATATATATATATATATAATATATATATATATATATATATATATATATATATATATATATATAATCAAATCGATTCAAAAATATGATTCGAGATACGATTTGAAAATTTTCAAAAATCTAATCCTTACTTATTTTATTTTTGCTGTGGGTATTTTAGATATTCTGCGCTTCGGCCCTATCAAAATACCGTTACTTATCCTTAAATACCTTTTTAATCAGTCATTAAAAAGGTTAACCAGGGCAAGAAGCATCAATAAAAAGATTATACAATTGTTTTATTTTATTTTATTTTAAAATATATATTATTAAATAAAATATGCTTAAATTTAGACTTCTAAATGTTGATTCAAAACGTGATTCGCGAATCAAGACCTACTTTGATTTGAGATTCAATTCGAAACAAAATCTGGCGATTCGCAGGGCCCTAATATATATATATATATATATATATATATATATATATATATATATATATATATATATATATATATATATATATATATATATATATATATATATATATATATATATATATATATCAGCATTCGGCAATGCTGACCTAACTGCCGGCCTAAAAGTGTTCAAGGTTGGCAATTATTGTCAACCTCGTTTCTTTGTTTTATAGTAAGACCTTTGTATCAATTTTTTTTTTGCCAACCTGATGCCGACCTCTGAAAGATTGAGGTCGACAAATTATTGCCGACCTCATTTTTTCTAATTCCAAGGGTTAATATATATATATCATATATGAACATCTATAAATAAGAGTTCTTGCAATATTAATTTTTTATTTTTTTAAGATTTTTTTTGATTTTTTTTTTTAGATTTTTTAACTTTAACTACAAACTACATTTTCTAGCTTTAATTACAAACAATTATTTATACTTAAATAAAAACAAATGGTAACATCACTTTTGAATGCCTTCTCAAACGTTTGCGTTATAAGAGCTTCTTTTTGGTTTTGTAAGTATAAAAAAATATGCCATCCAGAACTGTGGTTTTAAGGACTGACCATCATCTAAATTTATTGCTCTGTTTTTAGGTTTGCTCTGTTTTTAGGTTTGCATATTAAGTTTCAATTGACTTTAAAACTTTTTTTTTTAAATTTTTTTTCAATTTTTTTGCCTGCTCTTATTTTATATTGCATGGAAATTTGTTTTTATGATGTCCGATAGATTTGTCACATTTTTTTAAACATATATTTTTGGTGTTGTTTTATTTTAACTGATAATTTTATTTTTGTTTTGCCAATGTTTACTGACATTCTATAAAGTATACACCAGGATAGCTATTTGTTTGTAGTCTTATTTTCTTAATCAGCAAAGAACCAAGATTTGCATTAGATTTAATAACTGTCTTGTAACCTGCTTTCCTAAAGATTTTTATAATATTTGGATTTAAATTAGTGATATAGTTGACATGATTGGTTGACATGATTGGTTGACATGATAAATTAGTTAACATGATTGGTTCATTGTTAGATGAGACTACTTCATTATTTGAGTATAAATAATTTTCTTTTTGTACATACAAATACATCTATTCAGAAATCAATTTTATTTACAATTTTTTCAGAGTAAATAGGTAAGCCTCTACGGATGTCTCAGAGCAAATAGGTAAGCCTTTATGGATATCTCAGAGCAAGTAGACAACCCTCCATGGGTAAATTCATTAAATATGCTTTCTTAGATAACGATTTGAGTTGTGCTTGATCTGAATATTTGTTTGTTCTTTTTATCGTTTGTTTTTATCTTCAAATTCAATTTTGTATTTAATGGCATTATATTGACTGTTTAATATTTGTTAAAAATGGATGGCATTATCTTTATTGGTAAATCGTGCATGGTTCTCATCTATGTACTTTAGTTACTTTAATTCTAGCGGTGGATCGGAATAAAATTATGTTAAGTGGTTTATTTCGAAAAATTATTGAAAACCTTCTACAAGTATTACCATCAATGAAAGTCCTATAGGACCTTAATCCACAAGCTCGTGAATTTCTTTGTTCCATAAAAAATAATATTTAGATAAACACTATTTATTAGAGATTATCTAAATGTTTTTTTTAGTTCTATTAGTGATTTTAGATGCTTAGTTTTGTCAGTTTATTTAAATTTAGAACGTAAATTTTTTTATTCAGATTAACAAGTTCTAGTTTTACTAGCAAATTTAATTGTTAGGTTCTCTTTAATTATCTTTGTTTTGCCAATTTCACTGCAAATTTTATCTTTGGTGTTCTATTATATTAAAGCCTGCTCCTTTTTCAAAGAGTATATATTAATGTTTTTATTATCTTTTATTTGTTTAAATGCTTGTAATTGGTCATAGTTTAAATTACTACTTTTTTGACATTTAAACACTTTAAGTTGTCTTAACACACTTTTAGATAACGATTCAAATATCTTAGAAGGCATACTTAAGGGATTTATCTAAAGAGCCATAGAGGTTTACCTATTTTCATGGAAAAATTTATATATATAAAAATGTTTTTTTTTTTTTAATTTCTTAAATAGATGTGTTTGCTGAGAGCAGATAGGAAAAAAAAATTACAAAACCTTGTAAATATTTTTATAAAAACACAACACTCAAAAAATGTCTCAATCTAACAATGAAGCAACTATGCCAACTATATCACTAATGTGGATCTAAATATTATCACCAAAACTTCTAAAAATCTTTAGAAAAGCAGGTTACAAGTTTTTAAATCTAGCACAAATCTTTAATCTTTGCTAACCTTGTGAAACAAAACAAAACTATTATCTAATAGCAATCCTGGTGTAAACCTAATAAAATGGGAATGTAAAGAAAAATAGGCAAAACAAAAATAGCAAATAGAATGCAACCACACCAAAAATATATGCTAGAGGTAAAACAGAACCAATCTGAAAATAGGCATCGTAAAAATAAATGTCCATGCAATAGAAAATAGGGGCAGGTAAAAACATGAAAAACCTAAAAGAGTCAACTGAAATTCAGTACAACAAATGCAGATTTAAAAACAGAGGTATGAATTTAGGCCATGGTCAGTACATAAAAATGCAATTCTGGATGCTATATTTTTTATAACTATGTAACCAAAAAGAAGCCTTTTTAAAGACACCTAAAAGAAGCCCTTACCTTTTGTTTGTAATTAAATATAATGAACTCTTTGTAATTAAAGATAAAAATGCTAGCCGCAAAAATCTAGCGAAAATTTCTTAAAAATAAAAAACTAATATTGAAAAAACTGTTATTTATTGATGTTCTTATATTGAATTAATCCAACTCTATGAGGTCTTCTAATTTTGAATATATATATATATATATATATATATATATATATATATATATATATATATATATATATATATATATATATATATATATATATATATATATATATATATATATATATATATATATATATATACATTTACTAAAGCGTGTTTTGATAAGCATTTGCTCACTTTTTCTGCTTACCTTAAGCCATACCATTTTTTTTGAAAAAGAAGAAAAAAATTGAAGAATGATGAATGAAAGGATTGCTGCCCCATCCCAACCCCTCAGTCGATGTAGCAGCACTCCACTGCGAGTCAAGCTATTTGTCAGTCAAGGTATGTACTGAAGCCCCCAGCAGCAGGCTATTTCAGTATGACATCAGATTGCTTACCTTAGTACGCAATATTATATATATGTGTATATATATATATATATATATATATATATATATATATATATATATATATATATATATATATATATATATATATATATATATTATAAATAACTTAAATAAAAAACTAAATTTATCATGTTTTATGGAAGAAATACAATTGATGCATGCTGTTTACTGCCTGAAATTGATATTGATGATTATGCTGAGCAAATCAGAAGAATTCACCAAACCAGATGTAATTATTATAAGAAAAAACTTAATTTAGAATAATGTAATCAAAAAGAAACATGGATTATTGCCAAAGAAATACTTCTTTTGAATAATTCTAAAACTAATCACACATTATCAGAAGCAAAATGTAACATAATAAGTCAATATTTTGCAAGCAAACTTGAAGGCATAAAAAAATATCCAAGAAAGACTTACTACAATCACTACCTTGTGATACTCTTTGTGGTACTCCTGTACCACAAGGTAGTATATTAGACCCATTTTTATTTTCGATGTTTGTTTCACCTGTATATCGCATTATAGCTAAACATGGCACAAATCATCATCATCAATATGCCGATGATACCCAATTATATACTTTCATTAACACAGGAAAAGATAATATTAATAAAATCACTGAATGTGCTAAAACAGTTACAAAATAGTTTCTAGAAAGTAGACTTCTGCTTAACCCAATCAAAACAGAAGATATCTAATTTGGATCTAGGAAACAAACTGGAAAATTTAAAAATGATTCCAAAATTAAATTCTCTGGAACAACACTAACTTCCAATAAATTTAGTGAGATTATCTTTTATTTATTATTATTATTATTATTATTATTATTATTATTATTATTATTATTATTATTATTATTATTATTATTATTATTACTATTATTAATATTAGGAGTCACATTAGATTCAGCATTCTTGTTAGACCAACATATAAACAACACTGTTAAATCCTGTAACTACCATATTCGTGCTCTTCACCAGATATATCAATGTCTCGCTAAAGAAGCAGCTAACACAATTGCTTGTGGCATTATTAATCATTTATCAGGTTCTTACAAAAAAAAAATTTAACAAACTCCAAATAGGTTATCTCGCATTGTCTCTCATTTTCCTTTTTATTCAAAATCAGAAAAATTCCTAAACCTCTTCATTGGTTACCAATCCATTAACAAATAGTTTATAAAATATCAGTTATTACATATAAAACTTTAAAAACTAAATCTCCTGCATATCTATTTGAACTTTTAAAAACACACACTTAAAAACAGTTCCCTAGGATCACAGTCTTTCTTCATGAATGCACCTTAAATATGGAATGGCTTGTCTATAAACACACATAATTCAGCCACTTAAGAAACATTCAAAAAAAGACTAAAATACAAACTTTTTGTAGACGCTTTCAAGAACTCATAGTAATCTCTCTCAGTGCTTCTGAAATACTTCATCCCTATTGTGATTGTTGTAATTGATGGATTGGTAACCAATGAAGGGAGAGCACTTTAATCTCTAATTATTATTATAATTATTATTATTATTATTATTATTATTATTATTATATAAATATATATATATATATATATATATATATATATTATATATATATATATATATATATATATATATATATATATATATATATATATTATATATATATATATATTATATATATATATATATATATATATATATATATATATATATATAAAATATATATATAAAAAATATACATATATATATTTATTCTTTTTGAAAATATTATACGCACCTGCGTATAATAGTACTTCCGAAAAATGCATATTTTGTCTAGAAGAAAAATATGAAATAATTATACATTCAAACCTCTGAGACATGTTGTGTTCATATAAAAGAGAATGATAAAAAAAAATGTTTGGGCTAAACTTTTTTTGATTAAAACAAGAATAAATGCATACCAAGAAAAACTATTTTTTTTTTCTTTTTAGTTGAACTTGTCTTCTCTGTTTTGAAAAAAAGTCAGCATATAATATGCTGACTTTTTGGCCTACAACAAAACAGAGAACAGAAGCTTTTGGTCTGCATTTATTTTTTTGTTTTAATCAAAAATAATGTCTCAGAGGTTGTTTGGGATCTCTTTAAGAGCAAAAAAATTAACATTATTAGCCTAATATTTTCGCCTTTTCCAAGATTTTAAGATAAATTAACATGCACCTAGTTTTTCGCCTTATAAGAGATTTATAATGAGATTCAATTGATAGCTCAATGGTTTAGTGTACTGGTATCAGTTTCGCTTTGAGTAATTCCATTAAACTCAATAAATATTGTAATTTTTTCAATCTTGTCAAAATATTTATAGTAAAAAAATTTTTATATAGCAAAGAGACTTTTAATTGAAGTTTTTTCATTTTTATATTATACACCATTGTTCCATATACTGCCCGCAAACTTAACTTATGCTAAAAAGGTTTACAGTTAGAGACATGTGTATGTAACACTAAACTAATGGCAAAACTAAGAAGAACGCTACAAGAAGAACTGTTAAGTAAAACAATTAAACTTTCATCATTAAAACCCAACTAAAACCAAAAAGTTTCTTAACGTAGGAGAAAAATTTCAATTTAGATAAATGAAAATATTCACAATTATCTTAATATAAACCAAAGTAATGCTAATTGGGGAAAAAAAAAACATACAATCAATTTCAACTGTTAAGAAATACTTGACAATTGATCTAGCCAATTAGTCTAGACAATAATAACTGTCAAAAAATGTTTAAATCAAAAATTTTCCAATAAAAAAAAAAAGGGGGTTGTTCATTGATAAGCAACACAATATTAAATTATTTAATATTGTGTTTATCAATATATAATATTGTGTTTATCATATATATATATATATATATATATATATATATATATATATATATATATATATATATATATATATATATATATATATATATATATATATATATATATATATATATATATATATATATATATATATATATATATATATATATATAAATGGTGAACAGACCTATTGGTCTGTTTGGTCACAAGGGCAGCAACTGAAAGTAATTAAAAAAAATGTTGGTCGCCTGATGAAATTTTTATTTGCGCCTCGCAAATCTTTTTTAAATACCTTTCTTTTATATACAAGAACTTTAAAAAAATAACTTCTATGTATATTATACCAAAGTATCAAAAATATGTTTATATATTAGATCAAAAATAACATTAAAAATTTTGTATTCAAAAGTAAGCTTTCCTTCGAAAAAATTTAATATATATATATATATTTAATATATATATATATATATATATATATATATATATATATATATATATATATATATATATATATATATATATATATATATATATATATAAATGGTGAACAGACCTATTGGTCTGTTTGGTCACAAGGGCAGCAACTGAAAGTAATTAAAAAAAATGTTGGTCGCCTGATGAAATTTTTATTTGCGCCTCGCAAATCTTTTTTAAATACCTTTCTTTTATATACAAGAACTTTAAAAAAATAATTTCTATGTATATTATACCAAAGTATCAAAAATATGTTTATATATTAGATCAAAAATAACATTAAAAATTTTGTATTCAAAAGTAAGCTTTCCTTCAAAAAAATTTAATATATATATATATATATTTAATATATATATATATATATATATATATATATATATATATATATATATATATATATATATATATATATATATTATATATATATATATATATATATATATATATATATATATATATATATATATATACATTTATATACATATATATATATATATATATATATATATATATATATATATATATATATATATATATATATATATATATATATATATATATATAAATTTAAGATTTATATCTCAGCGACTACCATTAGTAATTCTACCATCCTACCAAAGGATTTTCTGGGGTTATTACATCAAACGCTTTTCTTAGAAAGTCTTCTAGGAATCAATTTCTGCAAACTTTATAGTATTTACTATTAAATTAAATAATCACTGTAAATTTTGAATAATATCTTAAGCAAGTTCATTTGATAGGGGGCTGTTTTACAAAATAGATTTAGGGGCTGTAGATCCTTTTATAAAAATATTATATTCATTCAAGTTTAAAATTACATATAAACTTACTATAAAAGTTGTTCATTTGTATTAATTTGTCATTTTATATCAATAACCAATATTAAGATCCCTGAATTTGAAGTTTTTGTTTAACGAATTGTTATTTTATATTTTTTAATTAAAACTACAAACTGGTAACTAAATTTAAATTTGCTTCAATTTGTTTCGATTTCAATTTTGATAGCATAATTTTTTTCATTTATGCTTGACTTGATTATTTACTTGTCACAAAGTAAACATTTTAATAGAACTAATCAAGACGAGTTCTTTTTGAAGTGATTACTAATGAGTTCAATAATTTCATTATTACCTCCGCCTAAATTATCCTCCGTCGCCAATTGCGCATTAATGTTATAGATGTTGTAAGTGTAAAGAATAAGTCCGTACTACCGTATAATAAACATATTAAACATAAACAATATATAATAAAGATAAACAACGAGAAAAGTCGCTTAGAGGATAAGAATTCTAAAAATGAAGTTTACTAGGTTTATGGTGATATTACAAATCTATACTTTTGAAAAGTATTAAAAAAGGCGATGTAAGAAAGATTCATATTAATTAAAAATATAAAATTATAACCTAATTATTTATATCTTTACATGAAAGTACTTTACAAATATTATTGTATCTGTCTGAATACTCTCCGCTAATAAATCACTAAACTTGCGTCTGAATTATCACCTCGCCCCTCAGAAAATCATTCAATACATAATAGATAATGGTATTTAGATGACAATTATACAACTATAAACTAATAAGTTATGCATTTACTTGAAATTACTTTACAAATACTTTGATGTTAGCCTGAATTATTACTCCTCCTAGTAAATTACTAAGCGTCTTTTCTCTTTGCTTTTGTTTATTAAGATAGTAGGAACGTATTCGGTACACTTGTAACAGCTATAATCTAAAAGCGCAACCTCGTTTAGAGTTTTAATTGGGGTTAGGTGGTAATTCAGGAAAATTTAATAATCTACTACAGTTTCTTTCGTGCAGTATAAGCTTAGTAGGCGGAATCAAGATTTTTCGATGCAATTAAAAACTCACAATTTTTGCACTACGATAACCATCTACCCAGGCTGCATAGAAAATCCAGAATATATGCAGATATGCGCAATCTGATTTGCTAGATTTGAAAAAGAAAATTGAGCGAGTTTGTTAAAAAAAATGAACTGTAAAACCTAATATCAAAAAACACATAAATAGAAGTAAAAGACGATAGCATAAAAATTTAAATAACAATAACAAAAATAAAATAATAATTTTTCATTTGGGTTTTCTACACTTCTTTATTAAAAATTTTCACAATTTCACTTTTTCAAAATTTTACAATTCAAAACATACAAAGTTTTACTTCAAAAATAAAAACAAAAAGATTAAAGATATAAAAAAGTAAAAAGTAATGATTTAAAAAAAAATTTGTTGTCTACAAGAACCAGACAGTTACAATAATTGAATATCAACGATTCCCTTCCTTTTTACATATTTACTTTGTAAGCCAAAATATTTGTTTTAAAACGCAAAATGTATTTACCTTCTTAATACAAATACTACAGAACAAATATTTACTGAACAAGTTGGTTGATGCAAACAAAATATTGGCTATTGTATTTCATTTAGTAAGTTTTTTCATCTCTGATATTAGCTGATTGCGATCAGTCCCGTTTTTGGATCATCCTAGCTCCCCACCGAAATAACGGATGATGCTTCTCTAGCCTCTTACTCTCCTTCCACCACCAAAAATAGGAAAAGAAAAAATTCTGTATTTCAACTCAATATTTTATATGGTTTTATAAATGTTATTGAATTAGAATAAAAACCAACAAGTAAATGTATTCATATTATAATACAACCAAATCATTTTATAATATGGTATTATAATATAATAGGAAACATGTCAATGCTCATTCGAGCGTGTTTGACACCATACTCTTGGCAGCCATTGTAACCGAGGTAATTGCAAAAAAAAGTAGCAGCACTTTTTTTTTATAAGAAAAGCCAACGAAAATGTATGCAAATATCTAACTTACTCAAACATCTAACTTCAAATTATGCAATGTTAAAAACATACTAAAACATATTTCAAGTGTTTTAGTTTTACTTTCACTTGAAAATTGTATTGCGGCAAAATCTTTTTAAAACTTGATCTGTAGCACTTATTTTCGTTTGATTAAGTCTTTAACATTTTTTAAAAATTTTTTTTCAAAATTTTTAAAAATTTAAAATTTTCTTTTAAATATTGTGACTGTATAGCTGAGTGGTTAGCACGCTGGGCTCTTAAGCAGGAAGTTCAGCTTGGATTCCTACCCTTGGCTTTTCTTTTTTTTTTTCAATTTAATCTTTTCCAAATTTTTTAAAATACAAAATAAAAGGCTTTTGAAGAAAAAAGTTTGTTTAGAAAGAAAGTTGTTTTGTTTTGCATTTTAAATAACAAATATTTAAAAAAAAAAAGCAAGCACTTGCCGCGCGGCAACCTTTACTTTTTTTAAACAGTAAGGGAGTTTAAAAAACATGTTTTTGTTAAGAACATAATTAAAATTTCTAGTTTTATGTTTTAAATAAACTATTTTATTAAATTTAAAACTTTTAAAAATAATTAAAAGAAAAAAAATACCTAATATTAAGGTAATTAGAAAACTTAAAGTCTTGCAGCTATTTTACCACGCCCCCGTTAAACATAAACCGAGTGGGTGACAATGACAGAATTTAGATAAAAGTCAAGGTTGAAATAGTATTATACTCCGTAAATTATTGGAAGAGTCAGCTCGAACGCTTCTAACTAATAATGCACTGTATCATTATAGGTGTGCACACGATAAGTTTTTTGTGTTTCTTGAAATATCTTTGAATATTCTATTATCACGTTCTTTATCTTCTATTATCACGTTTAAATAGTATATATATATATATATATATATATATATATATATATATATATATATATATATATATATATATATATATATATATATATATATATATATATATATATATATATATATATATATATATTTATATTGATTTTAGGTGCCCCAAGAAGTCCTTACGGTCTTATCACAGAGCACCGCGGAAGAGCATTTAATAGGAAGTTCATGCCTCCTTCCCAGCCGATGTCGCAAAACTTGCCCAAAGGTGGGGTTGGAACCACTGGTCTTACGTTTCTGAGGCAAGTGTCCTGCCACTGCGCCACGGCTGCTTTGGTAAGTATTTAAAATATTTTATTTATAATATCATTATTACTATTAACAAAAAATATTATGTTTTTATAAAAAATATTTACGCTTTGAAATTATATATTCCTAAATATATTTGAAATTATAAATACCTAAATGTAATTTATATAATTACATTTAGATATTAAGTTTAAATATATATTGAAAAAACAAAAAACAAAAAAAACTTTTGCGATGACTAATTTAACGCCAACTCAATTAATCTCTAAACCATTGCCTAAGAATCACTATCCTTCCTTAACTCTCCTAACAACGAAAAAAAAATACAAGGGGAAAGACGTACATAACCTGGAAACAAATTGCAATTTTAATTGTTATTATACTAATGCAACATCCCTTAATAAAAAAATAAACGATTTGATTGCAATTGCTAGAACGTTTGACTATCATGTTATTGCTGTCTCCGAAACATGGTTTCGAAATGACTCAGTTCTTAACATCGATGGGTATAACTTATATCGCAAAGATTGCTGTGACGGACGTCGAGGAGGCGGTGTAGCTATCTACATTACTGACTTATTTAATTCTCACGAAGTTAATCAGTTCTATACAAATTCACTTGAACAAGTTTGGGTATCAGTACAAGTTAATAATGAAAGCATACTTATTGGGTGTATATATAAACCAAATAATGCTAATCTAATAAACTATGTCGCTGAATCTTTCAAATTAGCTCATAGCTTAATTAGGAAGCCCTATGATGACTGTTTGATCGTTTGTGATTTTAATTTCCAGAATATGAAGTGGTTTAATAATGGTAAGTCTTTCAATCCAAACAATTCTAACTAGTATGAATTTTGGAACATTTACCAAAACAGCCTCTTTACACAACACATCACGTTCCCTACTTTCCAGACATCCTATGGTTCCCCAAAAAATATGTTTGACTTATTATTTACCTACAACAATAATTCTATTCTAAATTTGTCTCCTAATGCTATACTAGGTAATTTAAAACTTTAGTGTTACCTTTAGTGTTAAGAATCTTAGTTTTAGAACCGCTACCCGAAAACGAATCTCAATTGTTTACTTACAACAAAGCTGATTATTATTCAATATCAAACTTTATTGCATTAATCGATTGGGATATTATATTTCTACACAAAAATGCAGATCAAATGTTTAATGTATAAATTTCTTATTATCGTACTGCTTGCGAATTTTTTATCCCCAAGATTAAAAAAACAAAAAAAAATTATGATCCTTAGGTTACTCTACATATTAAAAGCTTAATCCGGACAAAAAAATTGGCTTGGTACATCTTGGTACATCAACTGCTCAACTAAATGCAAGAATAAAAATCTCAAAACAAATTACAATCGTCTTAATCGTTCCGTTAAAGCGGAAATACATAAAGCAAAAATATTACATGAAAAAAAAATAACATCAAAATCTCAGAACAACCCAAAACTCGTCTACAAATACATTAACAACCAACTAAAAATTAAAGATAAAATTCTCAAAAATCCTTCAGGTGAAATTACTGAAACTTTTCCCGATAAACTTGAACTTCTGAACTCTCAAATCAAATCTATGTTTACTCTTGAAAGCTCCGAAAATTTTCCATTGTTAAATAAAAGTGAAGTTAAACCTAAATGCAATTATAATAAGAGCTTGGATTTGTCTATTGTCGACATTATAAATGAACTTACTAATCTAAACCCTCTCAAATCTTTTGAACCTGACGGTTGCACCCTTTAATACCTAAGATATGTGTCAAAAGCTTCGCAATTCCGCTTACAAAATCTTCAATAAATCTTTTAATTCTGGAATAGTATCAACTCTCTGGAAATTAGCAAATATTAGTCCGATCTATAAAAAAAGGGAGACAAACTACTTCCTGAAAACTATCGCCCTATTTCACTTTCCTCTATTGCGTGCAAAATATTTGAAAAAGTTGTAAAGAATAAAATCTTGAAGCACATCAATGATAACAATATGCTCTCTACAAATCAACATGGCTTCCTTCATCATAAGTCTTGTGTAACCAATCTAATAGAGACTTTTGATATTATTTTGTCTTCCCTAGCATCGCACCAGTTTATAGATGTAA